ATGAGCTGTATTTTATATACCAATTAAAGATATTAGCTTTTTTCAAAACCACAATAGCACTACAATTGAAAATTTTTTCCTAGATAGTTAATTTGATTGTAAAAAAATTATGTTATGTAAATAATTAAAATTTTTCTTTAATTTTCTTTATATTGAAATAATTTGAAAAATTGGTAACTCACTGAATCACGGAGAAATTTTAAACATTATTATTTTTTTTATTTATACTTCGTCTGGTAGGATGAAGTCGTTATTTTAATTTTAATAATTTAGCTATAACTTGTATAATTTGGTATTTCAATAAAATTATAATAACTGAAAACAATATTATATTTATATAGATTAATATTAAATTATATTTAATTTTATGGGTCATTCAATTTCAACGATTTCAAACCTAACGATGCCCAAATTAAACAAGTGCTTACCTTTTAAATCTAATAAATAAACTATATTTCTTTTTTGAAATAAAAAAATTATTTATTCCAATAAATTGATTAATTATTTAGTATTTGATTAAAAGTCCTAACTTAGTAGTAGTGTTGTTATATCGCATAACTTTAGCCAATTCCAATAAAACTTAGCAATGTTTTAACCTAAAAAAATAGACTAACTTTAAGTTCAACCTGAACATAGATATTGGTAAGAATTCTTTAGGATAAAAATTTGACAGATCCATTTTGGAATTAGTCAAAGCTAGGTGATTTAACATCACTACTTAGTAGTTTCGTAGTACACGTCTTGTTTTTTTATTGTAAAATTAAAGTTTTTATGAAAATTTTCACAAATTTTTTTAAAATTTTTAAATATACTCCTTTTTTATTGTAAAATTAATGAATTATGATAAAAAATTTGCACCAAAATCCAAGACGATCTAATCTAAGATTAAGCCAATTGAAGGGGAAAAAATATGCATTTCTTAAAACTCTTGAGTAACGAAACTTTGAATTTATATAGCATCAAAAAATTTCAACCAATTGATCTTATATTTATTATAATATTTAAAAAAAAATAATGTTAGAAATTTCCCCGTTATTCAGTGAGTTACCGAAAAATTTAATTAATGTTTATTTTATACGCAAATATTAGGTATTAAACAAATTTGAAAATATTTATTTTCTGCGCAAATATTAGGTAATAAACAATTTTAAAATTATTTGACATTGGATTTATTATAAAAAAATATCAAAATAAATATTTATGCTATTTATTTTTTTTAAACTAGCTGATAAATTTCAAAAATTACATAGATCATTATCATTGCTCCTCTCCTTATTTAAAAGATGACCTTTGTATGTCCTCGTTGTTAATTGGGTCTTCGAGTTAGCCAAAACCCTATACCTTTACATACATGGATCACCTGATAAAAGATGTCCACATTCCCTCAAAAATGTCAAAATCCTTTAACCATTCCTGATAAAAAAATTAATTCAACCTAATAACACACACACAAGCAGAGTAATTGACAACTTCTCAAATATATTCCTAGCCTGGAGGAAGTGTCCCACCATAAAACACCTCTGCAGAACACACCAAATTTAAAATCTAACTCTTTCATGATGCAAACAACCACGTTATAACATAAAATTATGGGGTAATCTACTAACTTTTTCCCTACAAACCCCTTACCCCTACCAAATCAAATAACAATTCCCTATTTGATCACATTAAGCACAATTTGGAAAATTTTGATTCCTTCTTCATGATTGATTACGTATCTAAGAGTAATAATTGATAATGACGATAACAATCTACCTCATCGATGCAATTAAAACATCAATAAATGAAGGTGAATTAAATTAGGGCTCTCATATTAAACATCCAATGAAAATAAATTAGATTTCACCAAATGCTGACACTTTATTGCCGCTTCGTAATCTTCACCCTCCTGCCTCTTATACATCCTCACCTATTTTTACCACCGATGCACATAATTACTATATACAATAATAAAATTATTCGGACCATAAATTCCTTACAAATTCCCTGCACACATGAGTTAATGAAAGTAATACACCAGATGACCAGCATGTGTGCAAAAACTTTCTCAAAAATGTGTACTGAATGATAAATCTGCCATTCCAAAATAAGCCATTATAATTTTACACTTCTTCTATCCTTACCTGTGTTAAAAGTGTTCTACATGTATAATTTACTTTATTTTCCCTAATTTTATTTTATTATCATTTTTTTTTCTATTGGATTTCGTGATTAAGCATCTGCATTAGTATTGTTATCACCTTACTTATACCTTATAGCATAGTCCAGTGGCGTAGCTACGGGGGTGGTTTTCGGGTTCGGACCCCTCCCAGAGCAAAAATTTTTTTTAGATTATAAGTTCAAAAGACTTATAAATGACTTTATATCAAATAATCATTAATATTTATATTTTTCTGGTTTTGATTTTATGGAAGGATATTATATTACTATTGAAATTATTCTGGATAGTATTATTATAAAGTCATTGATAATAATCTGTTAAATTATAAAAACATATTATTGATGCATTTAAAAAAATTTTTATTATATATTATTGAAGATATGTTAATGATTTGTAAGATAAATCCTGCCGAAGTCCTTGCAAAAGGGTTATGGACCCCCTCTAAGGAAAATTCTTAGCTGCGCCACTGGCATAGTCATACATCTATAATTTAGATAGTAATCGTACTTATCGTTATTTTGTTAATATGTTTTAAGTTTATTTTATTTCCATATTTTTATTAGTGGTTTATAATTTGTCCTATATTGTAAATTTTCATCCATACAAGTAAATTATAAAATTTTACTACATCGTTTATTAAAACTTTTGACTTTTTTGTCTATTGTAAAAAAATAGTACTTCAAAGGCATCTTCTAATTTTTTTTTAAGGAATTCGATAACGGTAATTAATTATCCATTATAACACTTTTGTATAAGATTACTGCTTCAAAACCTTGGTTAGATGCGTCTATTTGCAATATCAACTCGCGGTTTGGGTAGTGTTGTTAAACGGCTCGTTTTGAGTCTATTTTTAAAAACGGCTAACTGAATATTTTAGCCAGAAAAATATTGCCTAATCGAGATTTCGATAATATATGTCTAGACCTTTGCTCCTTCAATAAGCAGAATCTTCAGACTTAGGTAATATTTTTTTCTAAATAAAATATTGAGCTAGCCGTGTTTTGAAATCGACTTAAAACGAGCCTTTTAACAACACTTAGATTTGGATTATATATATGTAGTATTTTATTCTTTAACTATTGTATTTTCTTTTCAAATTTTTGAATCTTTATAATCCAACAATCATTTTATATTTTTTTAACTATTTTATCTTATTTGGATATAATCTCATGTATATTATGAATAGTGAATGGTAATTTAATACACCTAGAAATGATTTCTTATCGGGTATCTTTATAATATTTTTTGTTGTTGTAACTAAACTCTTAAAATGATTTCTTATCATTTTGGATATCTTTATAATATTTTTGTTGTTGTTGTAACTAAACTCTTAACCTTGCGATTTCTCATTTAAAGGACCTATTTTATATTTTCTAAATTCTCTGCATCATAATATCGTTTCGAATAAATTGCAAATTATAAAATACTTTACAACATTTTTTCTAGTAATTCTTTCGTTCTTTCCTTCGTTAGAATATGATTGGTGCTCCATACCAAATAATAATTGTAAATATAGCGGTATTGTTCATTCGATGATATAGTGAATAATATGCATTTACAAATATTCTCGCTTTCTAAATCTAGTGTTGTATAATTGTTGAGATTATTTTCAGATGTAATATAATGTATGATTTTACAAAATTAAATTGTATTTATCGTAATAAACTACAAGAAAAATATTGTATAGTAATAATAATATATAAAATATTTGTAAGAAATAAAGTGTTATATGTTAACTTCCTCTTGAACTTTAATTTTGCTTTAAAATGTTAAATTATTAAATTGAAAATAGGTTTGTCTTGTAATAACTAGAAAAAAATTAACCAAAATTTTATTACACCATTAGTTAGAGTCTCATAATATTCTTTCTTCTTAGATTTAATAGAGACTACTTAAATTAAATGATAAAAATGTATGATTTTAGTATTCATTGTCCATAGCCTAATACTAGTTTAACCCTTCTTGATTCCGATGAAATAATTAGATTAATTTAATTTTTTAGAATATCTTAACAGATTGACAATATAAGACCAGGTAATCTGTTGTCAAACCTCAAAATCTTATATACCTTTTTTGTAAAATTTTTAAAATGTATGCGAATCCAATTGAATTTATTAAACCTTGATTTTATTCATTTGACTAAACTTTTACTGGTTCGAACCAGTTAAAAAAGGTTTTTTTATATAAAACCTACAAAAATCTTTTAAAAATGACAAATATTTATATAACAACAATCTCCCCCCTCCCGTTAATTATTTCTCTATATATCTATACCGTATTTAATATATAATCTTTGTTTAATTTAAATAAGTAATTTGTATAATAAATAAATTCTAATATATGGTTATATCGGTTAATATCGGAATATCTCCATTTCATTTAAGAGTTAAATAAAAATTCCTTTTTTCATCAGTTTAATTGATTTCACAATGCGAAGTAAATGCTTAATTCCCATACTCGGCGTATTTTTGTTGGCGTCTTTGCGCTATTTATCGACCCGTTATCAAAACTGGTATACGATGGATATCAAAGTGAACTATTTAAATTCTCGATTTTATCATTCAATCAAATTTATGTCTGACTTTAGAGATTGGAAGAAGATGTGGCTTGGATATATTTATTCTGATCCATATAAAGACTCACAAAATATTGGCGATGAAATTAACGATAATGACATAGAAAATGAGATGGATCAATTTCAGTTCTTAGACGAAAATTCTAACACATCGATTTACCGCAGGTTCCAACTGCTAAATATTCCTAGGGCATTTTTTATCCACAACCCTTCCGAAATTTGTTTCGACATGATAAAATGGTCATCAGTGATGAACTACCTTCAATGAATACTTATCAACCTGTTATTAGTGAAAACAACACTGAAAAAGAGGTAAATCCTTTAGACAATTTAATGGAATTCCAAAGGAAGCTTTATTGCCATGTATGGAAAAATATGCCAACTAATCGCGAATACGGGCACAAAAACTTTATTGATAAGAAAGAATATGAAGCAGAGCACTACGCCAAATTTTGCAGTGGGTGTGGTTATTTAATGAGTCCTCTGTTAGCTGGAGTTCTTTACAATCAGTCTCTAGAGTGCCTTGCTAAACCATTACCTAACGAAGACGTCTTCTGGACCGGTATCATAGCCGAAAAAGTCAAAGGGATTGATCATAAGACTTGGAATGCTTATTATAAATGGACAGAGAGGGATTGGGGGGAAATGCCTTACATCTTCTGTTCTTACTTAAACATGAAACACCTTAAAAAACTTTATTTTCGCAATTCTTATCTATGAAAAGTAGCAAATTATTTTTTTGTTCAAACTTAGTAAAAATTTTTCATACGTTAAATATAAATATTACCCTATATAATATTAGCCATGAAAAATATTAAATAAAAAAGGATGGATTATATTTTTTTTTTATTATTGTGCAATTCATATATGAAGAACAAATTTATTCTGATATTTCATATTTGGATGGCGCATCTAAAAATAATTCATTTGCTTTATCATTATATTGTTCTATCTCAATTTTTTTAAAAAAAACACAGGGGAGTAACTTCAGGAAGGGGAATCCAATTTTCATTAATAATCGGGAGGGAGTGGATCTTAATACGATTCATTATTAACTTGCAGTTAATTTCATAGAAAAAGAACCTAACTACTATAGGCCTTATACCATTATCAGTCTTCGATAAGGCAATGAGATGCCCCACCCGTCTAAGGAAGATCCGAGCTATATCAACTGGGAGCGCCATTTAGCAATTTTATTATAAACAAGGTTAAATTGTTTATGAAGGGACCAAAATTAGAATTATTAAGAGGAAGTACTGTTAAAAAATAACAGGGTCGATAACCACAGAGGCCTCTGGCTGAACTCCTAAGAACTTATTAACTGCTAAATGGAAGAGGAGAAATCAAAGTGGGTAGGAAGAGACATTATGGGGAACACTGATAAAAAACTTTTTTTAAAATCCTATTTAAATATAGCCGAGTCGGGTGATGGGTTCTGAATAAAAATTTTGAAAGTGCTTGGCGGTCTTACAAATTGCTCCTTAAATGCCAAGGTCTAATTGGTAGATGTTTAGAATTTTAATAACTCAGATAAAATGGATTAACATTATAAATAAATATATGGATTATTTGCACTTTTTTTTACGAAATCAGTTCCTTATAAAATTTTAAAAGTCCGTTCCTATAACTGGATTTGTCCCAATCCCAATTCCAAACTCTTAATTTAATTTTCTATGAATGGGGTGTCCATTTCAAGTCGCAAAATAAATCCCTTCATCAAACTTATAATTGATTTGTTTTTTTCTTTTTGAGTTAAGTAATTTTATTATTTTGTATAAAAAACAATTTTACAAAAATTTGTTTTTTTAAAAAAATATATAGTGGTTTTTTTTTATAAGAGGTTAAATTTATATTTTTTACTAAAAAATAGCAGCTGATTGAATAGGAGATTTCCTGGGATCTGAGCTGGCAAAAATTTTATTCTGGAATTTTATGAGAGGCAGGACACTATTGAGGCCTTCCACTTTCAAAAATTTGTGATTTTTCTTCTCTAAGCCTCGTAAGATGAGATTCGGGAAATTTTCTTTTTAAATATGTTTATATGATGGATAAAATTAGATTAAATATACTGGGAATGTCAATCTCTCAATTTTAAATCATTTAGTGAGAGCCTTACAATTAATATAATCCGATTTTTACAGAAAATTAATTATTGGATGATATGGTAGATTAACTTATGCTGAAACGCAATTTCCTTGAAAATCGAATTCGAAAAAATATCACTAGGTAATAAATGATCATAATTTGAGAGATTCAGAATTCTCCATCGAATCCCTAATCCCTATCAATGATATTATAACAATGACTAGACTGAGAATTCATTTGTATAAATGTGAATCAATATAAATCAATTAAAATATCACGAAAACTTGTTTCATTTTCAAATTACAAAATAATAAAACGGGAAACTGGTCGGTCCCCAGCTGATTTGTATTTAACGACGTAGGATATCATTTTAACGAATTAATAGTCAATCCAGGTAAGTATAATATAGCATTGAGTCCCAATATGACGATGAAAATGTTTGATAATGGAACTTATTGATATAAAATTATAATCGAACCGGGTTGGCCCTGACCATTCAAAACAATTTTCGAGTTATACAACCTGAAAAATATATAGGGAACCTCGATTTTAGGCACGAGCCCGGCTTGGTCTGGTTCGAACCAATAGTATTTCAGGCCCGAATCAAACTTATTTTAGGGACAGGCTGATTTCGTGGTGACTTTCTAGGACTCTTGTTTTGAATCTCTAATGTGAGAGTGTAAAAAGAATTTTCAAGCGATAAAAAAATATCTTGGGACATGATTAAAGATTAAAATGAATTTAGGTGTTCTTGCCTATTTTACTAGAGAGCTGCTGAATAATATCAGATCTTTAGAACTCTTTAAAAAAACCGGTTTAGGAAAAACTAATATTTTTAAAACAATCATAATTGTCTGCATTAATTTATAAGCCAGTGTTTGTTTTTAACTTTACAAGGTTATCGATAATACAGATAACTCTAATTTACTTTTTGCTTCTTTAAGAAAAGAAATATCATTTTTTTTTTCAAAGTTAGCGTCATAAAAAAAAGAGTAGCTTCACCTTCTACTTCAATAATGTCTGTTTGAGGATTAAAGTAGAGCCTGGGTCTGGCCATGGCAGTTTCCAGGGTATCGCCGAAGGCTAGAACGTACATGAGCACCTGGGTCACTCCGCTGATTATTCTAGTTCCATTAGAACCACCCAAAGCAATTTTGTAGCCACAATCGGCAAGCCTATCGTAAGCTATGGTGGGAACCATAGAGGTATGAGGTCTTTTGCCAGGAGCGGGGTAATTGAACTGAGAGTTTTAAATTTTTTAAAATATTTAAAAGGTATTAAATATGCTGACTATGTTATGAAGTAGACCTGAAAAATAAAAATTAGTTATAAAATACGTTTTTGTTTGACTGACTCTTGATAATGTAAGAATGCAGTTTTACAAAATTTGAAATGTTATATATGTGTAAAAAAATAATAATAATTTAATAGGCACCTCTGCAAAATAAAGGACTGATAATATATCCGCCAAGAGCGATTCTTAAGCTTAATAATAGTGTTGTTAAACGGATCGATTTGAGCCTATTTTTAAAAATAATTAATTCAATTTTTTTTTTATACTTAAATATTATACAAATCTGAAGATTTTGCTCATTGTTAGTTGTTCAAATATTTGGATATCTATCAGTTCAGATCTCGAGTTTTCAGCAACTATTTTTCTGGCTAAAATATTGAATTGAGCATATATCGGCTCAAATTTTAATAGAAGGATAACTGTGAACGGAATACATTAAAAAAAACATTTGTGGCAATCCGAATCAATCCAAAATATTTAAATATTTTTAAAAAAATTGAGAATGTTCATGAAAATTATTTTATTTTTTTTTCAAATGCTTTTCAAAGATCTTATCTTAGACCCTGATAATGCCTTGAATCGAAGAGAAGTAATTAAATAAAGAAGAAGGTCAGGAGTTATTTGTTCTCTATAAATTTTAAAAGGGAGATGGCTGGTTGAGCTTATACAAAAGTAGGAATAATATTTCAGGAAATTTTTTAAGAGATATGTTGCCTGCACCTTATTGCGTTCTCATACAGACAATGCACAAGAGAGTATTGCCAATAAGTTTTTTTTTAAATATAAGGCAATATTGTAAAATGTATATAATGATGTTGGAATATTTTTTTGAAAAAAATAATAATGAAAATATAAATAATTCATATTTACTGAATTTATATCCTTAGTAAAACCATCCAAATGATCGTTCAGTAGAATTCCATCATGAGATATCACTTTAGAGCCGAATGAATTGTTGATGGATCTTTCATTTCATATAAATACATTAAAATTGAAAAAAAGAATTATTATATTAAATTCTTTTATATATATTTAAATTCTAAAATGATATTACAAAATTCTAAAGAAATCATTATTTTTAAATTTTTATAAATAATACTTACCACTTTGTTATGTCGCATAACTTTAGCAAATTCCAATAAAAATTAGTCAAGCTTTTAACCTAAAAAAATGGACGAAACCCTATAAGTCGAACCTAAACTTAGATATCGGAACGAATTTTTTGGGATAAAAACTTGACAGATCTATTTTGGAATTAGTCATAGGTGATTTAACAACACTATTTATCAAAGCTTACTCTTTATACAATTTTTTTTCTTTTAAAATGCAACATATTAATTTTTAAAAATGTAAAAAAAGGAAAAATTAAAGTTAAAAATTATTTATTTTTAATATATGTATATTTTATTATACGTGGTGACCGATACGATAAGGTCATTCTTATCGATTGCGGAAGCGTGCGCAGTGCCATTGCTACCATACACTTCTTGGCTATATTTGTTGTTGGAACGCTCGTTAGATACCTTGTTAGCCAATAAATCTAGATTACTGCTTTCAAACATGCTCTGTACCATATATAGAATCTTGTTGTCATCTGTGTTAGAATTTGTAGAGACATCGTTATCCGAATACGGAGAATATTCAGGACCGGGATCTCCCACGTAGTTACTGTAGACCGAGGCCAATTTGAAGGATTCTATAACCCAATGATAAAACATGGTTAACTGATCTAAACTCAGATTTGGAGCGTTTTCAAAGAAAGGATGAATCGGGAAATGCCTCAGATCCGTTTCCGAGTAATAAGGATATTGGGTACAAGTGTCAATAAATGAAGAAGTCGAATTATTATCATGCTTTGTGGGAATCCTTACCAATATATTGTTCCCATTTTTAAGATCTATTACTATCTGCCTTCTTGATCTGTCTGCTGTGTTTACAAATTGGAATAAAAAAATAAGCATAGATTTAAATAACGATTGTAACCTAAGAGAAGATACCCAAATTAACATCCCCCTTCCTTGTGCCAATTTATTACTAAAAAATTATTTAATTTAATCATGTATATAATATTGACCTTTAGGGTTAGAATTTGTTGATCTAGGGTCATCGCAAGTCCTATTATCCCCGCAGTTCATACTCATCACCCAGGAAGATTTATCCTCAGCCCTGTCACAAGGAATAGTGCACGACAACGTGTTATCGTAAAATTGAGCCAAGAATGGTGTAATTTGGCTAGCTTTTTAAAATATTATTATTTTTTGCATAAATATTCGAATTAATATATAATTAATAAAATTATTATATATTCATTTATACTCTCTGATTATAAAAATATTTTACTTTTAATTAACTTCAAAAACTGCTTAGCCGGTGATTTAAGTCTGAGATTCAAATATATAATGTCAATCAATTTTATTTAGGTTAAAAGATTGACCTATAGGAGAGAAAGTTGTCTTTTATTATCAAAAATTTCTTATTTTTTCTTAATAAAGCTCATTTTCCTTCCCTTTTTTCACCCTTAGAAAAAAAGAGTTAAGCAAGGTGTTTAAAAGAATTTGAATACCGTTGACCATATCGAAGGCTCCAAATCTCTCTAAAAGTTTGAATATTAATCCCAAGATAGGGCCAGAAGCCGGAGGCGGACAAGACAAGATGGTGTACCTTCCTTTTAGGAAGGAAGTTTCGAAGGCGTTCCTCATTTTCGGTTGGTAATCTCGCAAATCCTGTAACGTCATTGCGCCTCCATTTGCGTTAACCTAAGTTATTTCCGGTTAAGGGGAGGGGATATAATTATTAGAATTTAAAAATATATTAATCGTCCTATTTATTAAGTATTGTCAAAACCTTACCCTTTTTATAAAACGGTCAAAAAATCTTAGCCAATTTTTATTTTTTAAATCTTGATCTGGAGATTTGGTGAAAAGGGGACCCAAATATTTGTGCCATCTGTATTGCGAAAATCTCGCGGGGTTAGTTTAGTAATTTTTTTAGCTAGAATTTCGAATTCAGTCATGTTTTAAAAACGTGCCTAAAATCTGGTTGTTGGCAATATTAGTCTAATCCTGAACCTTGCAGCACTCTTATTTTATAAAACCTTCATAAATTGATCAAATAAAGTATAGAGAGATGCTCATTTTAATTATTTTTGTTATTAGGGCAAGATAGAGAGATGATTAAATTTTACAAACAGCTTCGACGATGTGTTCCGCTATACTTCCTTCGTAAATAGCTGCTGGACCTTCGTTAGCGATTCTTCTCAGAACTTTGGCCAACGCTAAATTCTTGATAAGGCTCCTGACTTCAAGATATTGGACGGTTCGGTTGGTCGAATTGCTAAAGTCAGTAGCATTCGAGATTTTGGATAAATATAGGGAAGCTATTTGAGGAAAATCCCTTTCCAATTGGCTAGGGGATTCGAATTCCTTTACCAAGGCACGGTCTATTATTTTTAAGAAAAGGGCAAAATGTCAAGTAAATAATATTCTAAAGTAATTTTTTTTTCGTTAAATATGTGAATAATTATATGATAATAATGGAAATTAGATTTGTTAATCGGTTGTACAACCTATCCGTGAATCCTAGAATTAAGTTCTTAGGTATAATAAAATACACTTTTAACCAGGAGCTATAATCGTTTTTCTGTTATAACTACCACTGAGATCGATAAATTGGAGATAAAAAAAGTCACCCTTAAGATGATTCGTCTGTTAACCATTATGAAAAATTAATATGATTCGATTACATGTCGCTTTCGTAATTGGAAACCCATTTTCCGCCAGTTTCATTGCTGGTTCCACATTATCCTTCCAAGTTAATCTAGTTAACATAAATATAAAACATTTTTAATACCTTAAATTAATATATAAATTTCATTAAAATAAGTGTCATTTTATAAAAACTATAAATAGCTTTAATTTATGTTATCAGCTGTTTAGTGGGGATTCTAAGTTTAGTGAGATTCTATTTATCATATATTAATTTGGTAAGAATAAAGGATAATGAAATGATTGACACATACTTTCCGTACAGTTCGTGGGCTTTGAAAAGCCCTTTTACTTCTCCCGGAACGCCTATGATAGAACCCTTATATATATTTATTTTTGTTGGAAAAAAATAATCAAAATAATAATAACTTTAGTATACTATAAAAACACCCAATCAGTGTTATCTAGTGGTCACGTGACCTGTCATATAATTTTCGGGAAAAAGGTAAGGAACGATATATTAAAAATAAAAATAATTTTAAATTATTTGAATTATCGTTTAAAAGAATTAAAGAATAAAAGGAAAAATGATTAGAAAAGAAAAAATGAAAATGAAGAGAAGAGAAGAGAAGAGAAGAGAAGAGAAGAAGAAGAAGAGAAGAGAAGAGAAGAGAAGAAGAGAAGAGAAGAGAAGAAGAAGAAGAAGAAGAGAGAGAGAAGAGAAGAGAAGAGAGAAGAGAAGAGAAGAAGAAGAGAAGAGAGAGAGAAGAGAAGAGAAGAGAAGAGAGAGAAGAGAAGAGAAGAGAAGAGAAGAGAAGAAGAAGAGAAGAAGAAGAAGAGAAGAGAAGAGAAGAGAAGAGAAGAAGAAGAAGAAGAGAAGAAGAAGAGAAGAGAAGAAGAAGAGAAGAGAAGAGAAGAGAAGAGAAGAGAAGAGAAGAAGAAGAAGAAGAGAAGAGAAGAGAAGAGAAGAGAAGAGAAGACCTAATAAAAAATAAATAGGAGGTTATAATTTCTAATTTTCTTACTATATTAGCCCATGGATCCACCGCGTTCATAGGCATAGTTTCTCTGAAGTCTATAACTTGAGAGACATTGGATTTAGAATCTAACACGATCATCATTCCTCCCCTGGTCACCAGAAATTTACATACAATTATTTAACATATATATATAGTATATACTTAAATTTATGGTAATCATTTTTTTTTTAAATCTTAAGTTCATTATAACACTTCATTAGAGTCATTTTATATCTAACCCATCAATAAATTAATTCAGTAACGAATTCTAATAAGATATTTTTGCAAAACCCTGGTTCAGGCTCCGTTATGAATTTTAAAGCAAAAATATTTAATAGGTTTCTCAGGCTCGAACTCAAGTGTGAAGTCAAAATTTTAGGGTAAACATATTTTATATTCTTTTTTTTCTTACAGTCATTACTAGTGTTGTTAAACGGCTAACTCAGTATTTCATCCAGAAGAATATTACGCAAGCCTGAAGATTTAGCTCATAGAAGGAACAAAGGTCCTAGACATGTATTATCGAAATAATCTCAAGGCTTAGGCAATATTTTTCTGGCTAAAATATTGAGAGTTAGCCGTTGTTTAACAACCAGTAGTCATGACTATGTAACCTAGTGTTCAATCTAATTTCTGATTCCGCTAATTTCTACCCTAACAACAAATATTCCGTAGATTCTTACCCATCATATTCAGAGTTTAAAATACTAATGTAAATTAAAAATCACTATTTTTTTATTGAGAATGCTCAAAAAGCATTTTTGATCAAATTTTACTTTAATTTCCAAATTTTCAGTTTATAAGTAAATCCTTTGTAATTCCTTACTTTAAAAATCCTTCATGATGAATTCCAAATTTCTGAGCTTCTTTAAAATAAATTTCAATTTTTATGATGATTATTCATAATTCAAAATAAATCTTCAAAAAGTTTATTAAGGTTTTCTTCTTTTGTTCAAGCTCTGATCACAATGTGCTTCGTAAAAAGAAAAAATTAATTTTCCCACTTTTTGCTTCCTTCCTTCCTTCCTTTTTAGTCATAATTTTTTACTTTAAGATAAAATAAAAGCTATTTTTTAAAAAAAAATTTTTTAATTTTATTAAGAGAGGTGTTGTGGTCTTTAACTATGATATGTAATTTTATTTTTAGCGAATAAATAGCTGTATCATTGGGCTATAAAACAAAAAAACCAGGGCTTTCTAACTGTGATGCAAAATAACTCCATTTGAACTGATTTTTAAAACCGGCTAACTCAATATTTTAGCCAAAAATTTTGCCCAAGCCTGTAGATTCCGCTAACAGATTTTCCAAACCTTTGTGCCAACTATGATAAAAAATCAGGGTTGCTGTAATATTTTCTTTTGGATAACATAGTTAGTCAGCTGTTTTTAAAGAAATCGCATCAAATTGAGCGAATTAGTAACGCTACTGTGGGCGCCATTAGGCAAGATGAAAAATATAAAATTCAACATACACAATACAAATTGGGCACACTTAAAATGTACATTTCCTAGCACAAATTGAACATGTTTATTCCGGACATTTTGAAACGATCTGTCCAGTCATCGCGTTTTTTTTAAATTATGGTAATAACTTTTTCCACCCATTACTCAATTCCAAATTTTTTATATTTTTGTTTTTTAGAATAGAATAATTTTTTTTTCCTCTGCAATTAAATGCTCTTTAATTAACCATTTTACTCCGTGACATTTAACCCTACGATGGTAGTGAATTCACCTAAATGGCTATAAAACCCTCTCTAGATATGCTAAAAATATCGGATGTCCTAGACATTGGGCAATACGGTTTTTTTCTCGAGGAAAAAAAAATTATAAGAAAAGTTGTTAAAAATGGGCTAAAAAATATTTTGTTCAATAATTTTTTATGAATAAGGAGCTCCCGTTACTAAATGAACATATGATAGATAGTTATGTATAGATGTGGATCTTTTGACCAAATATGTAACAACCTAACCTTAAAGATTTTTAAATTTATAGCCGTTTGCCTTTTTAACCCCACCTGCCGGATAGCCCCGGTATCCTTTTACCCCTTTTAATATAAGAAATAATGTGTTATGTGTTTTATTAAAGCATTAGATAGCGTTGTGATTTTACCCATAATAATACATAACCAAAAAAAATTTAATGTTATCTAATGACGTCTATAACTTAGTCGGTTCAGTACGCGTTAATTCTGGGTTCGAAAATCCAGCAAATATCATGTTTTTTTCAGGAGCCAACTAAGTGCTTCCGTCCTTGGGGGATCATATTAGATTTAGTAGGTAGGATTTGATCACGTGATTCTGTTAATATATATACCATTTTATTGTATTTCGGTCATCATTACCCTTAATATATACCGTATTTTTAATAATTGGAAGTTCGGTTTGAACTACCCTGTAATGGATTTGATTTTAATCGTTTTAAAAATATTTTAAAATAGCCACCGGATCTAATTTTAAAAATAATCAATGGCATCTTCCCATTAAAAAAATTTTGGTCTTTTATATTAATAAGTAATATATTATTAAATTGTCCAATATTTATTTCTTCAGTGAAATGCAAAAAGAAGAAATACAAACCCTCCAATGCCAGAATGTGCCCCATTGACAACTCCTTTACAAAATATGGTTGCTACTATGGCGTCTATCGAGCTTCCCCCCTTTTTCATCTGCTGGACTCCTATATCCGAACATAGTTTGACGTCGGATGTCACCGCTCCGTGATTGGGGGTTAAATCTTTCCATGTTCCAGTCTATTTGTTAATAATGTATATATATTGTTATATCTATAAAATATTTAGAAAAATTAGCTTACAAAAATTGGATCAAATGGAATTCATTGTTATACTATTGAATTTATAAAAAAAAAATTTAAATAAGATGATTTTAATTTATGAAGCTTGCACATTCAAATTTCGCGTTTTTATTTATGACCCGAAATGGCGCTACTATTAAGTAAATTGAGGCTAAATATTTATGCTTAGAGTTTAGAGGCAACCGAGAGCTGCATTCACTGCCTGACCATAAAATAATCTTTTTGGTTGGAAATTTATTGTAAACATGAAAATTTGCTAGTGTTGTTAAACGGTTCGATTTGAGCCGATTTTTAAAAACGGTTAACTTAATATTTTAAGCCAGGAAAAATGATGGCCTAAGCCCCGAGATATCGCTAATAGATGTCCAAAAATTGTGTCATCTATGAGTCAAAATCTTTATGGCTTGCGTAATATTTTTCCCAATAAAACGTTGAGTTAGCCGTTTTCAAAAAATCGGCTCAAATCGAACCGTTTAACAACTCTGTAAATTTGCAATAAAATTTAGAAAAAAGCAAAACAATTTTTCCTTAAAAGTGTTTGCAAATAAATTTTTGTCCTTTTTAATATATACATTTAATTGAATCTATATAATTTATTTTTCCTATATATTTTTTTAAACAAATTCAATTATACTCGAGAATCATAATGGTTCAGGGTGATAGAGAGTGTTAAGACTAAAAATACGGCAGATCGACACACCAATAGAAGGTATCTTATCATTTTCAGATATTTGCGGCGCGTAAAATATTTTTTTCTAGATAAATCTATGTATATTTATATATATATATATAATTATATATTTTTCTAATTTTTAAGGTTAAATTTTAGAAAAATCATTAGTTTTTTAAAAGGAAAATATATATGTTAGTGTCAACGTGTTTTTTTCGGATATGTCTTATTTTTCACAATTTTAAATCATTTTTTGAGCGCGAATGGTATTCCATCATGTTTGCAATACTTACCCTATAAAATTTCAGATTTTTGCCATGTGAACTTTAGTAATTTAATAGAATTTATATTAGATTTTTCCAAAAATTTTGTTTTTTAGAGTATAAATTATAAATGTCTCAAAATGTTATCGGTGAAATTTGTCTAAAATTCATAGGGTACTTCTCTTCTCTTCTCTTCTCTTCTCTTCTCTTCTCTTCTCTTCTCTTCTCTTAAATTATTTCGAGAATTAATATGATAATTATAACCTTAAAACTCAAAGGAGTGAAATAATAATGGAGTCGTAATATAATTATACTGTATAATATTTTATTTTATTAAATTAAATTTAGAATCATAGGAAAAACTATTTCAAACTTTTTCATTTTTATTTACAAAAAAAAGAAAAGAGAATAGAAACTTGGCCCCATATGGCTAGGGATCTGATGATCCCTGGATATGAGATTTGTTTTTTCTTTCCATAATGATATATATATATATTTATCAAAGTTGATAACTACTAAAAGAGTTTTTTTTTCTCTCTCTTAAAATATCGTTTAGTCATAATTTACAGGAAATATATATATACCAGAAACCTAAAAAAAATTTTTTTTTAAATAACCGGGCCGGGCCTAAAAATTTTTTTAAATGCCCGAGCTGGATCAAAAAAATTTTTAAATAACCGAACCGGGCCTAAAATATTTTTTTTTTAAAAAAATACCCAGGCCGGTTAGAAATTTTAAAACCAAATATTTTAAATCGTCATTATTATCTATAAAAATTGAAAATAAATGAAATATATTTTTTTAAAAAAATCCGCGTCGAGCCTAAAATATAAAACCCGAGTCGGGTCGGACCAAATATTTTTCTTAGTATCCGGGACGGGCCGTTGCAAATGTTTCCTTAGCAGGTCTCTGATATATACTGTATGTTAACCATTAAAAAATCCGGTTTAAAGATTGAATTCTTATATCTAAAAAAGTAGACATATCAGTTTCTTTAAAAACTAACTTTTAATCATTTTTAACACAACCGTAAAAAGAGAATTATTTTGATTTCAGAGATAATTTACAGTAAACGCGTTATGTTGAAGTGATGGATTATTTAACGCAGCGTTATTCAAAAAACAAAAACAAGCTAAAAAAAAAAATAGGTATGATTTATAAATATGGAGTGTTATGATGATAATGCTACTACGATAAATTTGAAAAAGATTGTGTTGCCGATTATAGTAATAAAGCAAAATTAAATATTTTATGATTGGTTGAAGAATGGCTAGCCACTAATGTTCGCCGCGGATATATTTTTGCATGATCCGAACCCTATATTATTATTCAATTTTCAATATATTAATTGTAAATAATAAAAAAAAATAAAGAATTTTTCAATAATTATCAAAAAAAAAATACTATTTACTTTCCATATCTCCCATAGTATTTTGTTCAACGCAAAGAATTTATGAATAAATAAGGAACGCTGCAAAAATTAAAAACGACTGTAAATCCCCAGAATGGAATATGAATTTGTCAGAAAACGCGAAATTGTTTTTTTTTGCAAAAATTTTCCATATAATTCAAGTCAAAATTAATGTTGTTAAAAAGCCGAATTTTAACGGCTACAACCTCGAGGTAGGTGCCAAAAATTTGGCTTAAACCTCGAGGTTGGAACCGAAAATTTGATTTAAACCTCGAGGTCGGAGCTGAAAATTTTGGCTTCAACCTCGAGGTCGGAGCCAAAAATTTGGCTTAGACTTAGAGGTCGGAGCTGAAAATTTTGGCTTAACCCTCGAGGTCGGAGCTGAAAATTTGGCTCAAGCTCAAGCCGGCTCAAGAGTTGGCTCGAGTCTAATTTTGAGCCAAAATTTTTTTATTTATATATTTTAAAAGAATATAATAAAATTAAATTCGTTATTTTAGTAAAATAACTTTTTTTTATAATATTTTATTATCAACAAAAAAACATATGATTTGATTTAATATTTTTTATTTATATGAAATGAAATTTATATTATATTATGAAAATGATATGATGTTTTTTAATTAAAAAAAATGATTACAATAACATTAAGTGATTTTCAAAATATTTATGAAAATAATTTTTGATTGAATTTTATATCTCTTAAATTTTATTATAAATAAACAATCTTTTAGGTGAAATCTTTAATTTATTTTTATCATTTTTATAAAATTATCTAATTTTTAAGGTGTGAGGTAGTTTTTTCTAAATAATTTATATTAAACTTTTTATGTTATTTTATACGATCGTTTTAGGGTTAATATTTTAATGTGATAGATGTCATGTTCATTTTTTTAACATTTTTGAAATTTTTTATCATAAGAGTGTAATATATTATAAAGATGATTATAATTTAAATGAAGATGTTCTTTGGAAATATGATAATTATATCGGTATTTTTAAACGTATTTAATTTTTTTGACACTAAGTGACAAAAATAAGTATTGCAAACATGTTTAATTAAAAATTTAGTGAAGATGTACACTAGATAAGTGACAATTATCATTATCGTTATTTTTAAAATTTTTTGAATTTTTTTGATGTAAATGGGTAAAAATTAATATTTCTAACATGTTTAATTAAAACTTTAGTGAAGATGTACCCTAGATAAGTGACAATTGTCATAAGTTATTTTTAAAGTTTTTTGAATTTTTTTGACGTAAATGGACAAAAATAAATATTTCTAACATGTTTAAAACTTTAGTGAAGATGTACCCTAGATAAGTGACAATTGTCATAATAGTTATTTTTAAAATTTTTGAATTTTTTTGACGTAAATGGGCAAAAATAAATATTGCAAACATGTTAAATTAAAATTTCATGAGGATGTACCTAAGATAAGTGACAATTATCATTATAGTTTTTTTAAGGTATTTTGAATTTTTTTGACGTAAATGGGCAAAAATAAATATTTCTAGCATATTTAATTAAAACTTTAGTGAAGATGTAACCTAGATAAGTGACAATTGTCATAATAGTTATTTTTAAAATTTTTGAATTTTTTTTAAATAAATGGACAAAAATAAATATTTCTAACATATTTAATTAAAACCTCAGTGAAGTTGTATTCTAGATATGTGACATTCCGTGCTTTATATATTCAGTACCAGCCCGGTATTTTTAAATTGTTGTTATAAGTTCTAACCACCATCTAATCGTTTTAGTTGATTATCTATATTTCTCTATTAGTTTACATTTTATTGTAAAGATCACTTTATCATTTTTAAAAACATTTGATAGGTTAATTTATACTTTAATAAGAATTAAAAAAATAGAAAATATAGAGTAAAATTTAATCAGATTAACACTATCAGAGGGAATATTCTTATTCAAATAAAATATATAATTTTAAATAAAATTTTCAAAATTACATCTGAATAATTCACATTACTATAGAATTTGTTTATTCACTGTATTGGATTTATGTAAATTTCTATCTTCAATCAACAAGGATTTAACCTTATAATATATTCTGTCCCTTGTGGGAAAATCCTTTAGTTGAGCCACATCAGGGGTTTCATAACTCTTAGGTAGCTTACGTGCTTATTTTTAAGTACAAATATAAATATATTTTAAAATTCTTCCTTGGATAATTTTATGAATAATATTTTAATTTTTAAAATAACTTTTATATTTTAAGAAAATATTAAAAGCACAAAAGCATCGAAGATTAACTTTTCTTTAGTGCCATTTCATCTATTTCTTTAATATATTTTACATAATAATTGAATCAGGTAAAGAATGCATGTTTATAAATTATAAATATAATACGAAAGTAGCAGGTATATTACCTCAATCCATACATTATTAGTTTGTCACATAATAATAGGAGGCGCTAATGTGAATTATTCAGATGTAAATATGAAAATTTTATTTAAAATTATATATTTTATTTGAATAAGAGTATCACCTCTGATAGTATTAATCTAATTAAACTATATATTTTCTATTTTTTTTGTTCTTATTAAAGTATAAATTAACCTATCAAATGTTTTTAAAAATGATAAAGTGATCTTTACAATAAAATGTAAACTAATAAGATAATCATCTAAAACGATTGGAAGATGGTGGTTAGAACTTAAAACAACAATTTAAAAATACCGGGCCGGTACTGAATATATAAAGTACGGAATGTCACTTATCTAGAATACAACATCACTGAGGTTTTAATTAAATATGTTAGAAATATTTATTTTTGTTCATTTATTTTAAAAACATTCAAAAAATTTTAAAAATAACTATTATGACAATTGTCACTTATCTTGGTTACATTTTCACTAAAGTTTTAATTAAACATGTTAGAAATATTTATTTTTGCCCATTTACGTCAAAAAAAAAACCTTAAAAAGAACGATAATGATGATTGTCATTTATCTTAGGTACATCCTCATGAAATTTTAATTTAACATGTTTGCAATATTTATTTTTGCCCATTTACGTTAAAAAAATTCAAAAAATTTTAAAAATAACGATAATGATAATAGGGTACATCTTAACTAAATTTTTAATAAAACATGTTTACAATAAGTATTTTTGTCACAATGTGTCAAAAAAATTAAATACGTTTAAAAATACCGATATAATTATCATATTTCCAAAGAACATCTTCATTTAAATTATAATCATCTTTATAAATATATTACACTCTTATGACAAAAAATTTCAAAAATGTTAAAAAAAATGAACATGACATCTATCACATTAAAATATTAACCTTAAAACGATCGTATAAAATAACATAAAAAAGTTTAATATAAATATTTAAATTATTTAGAAAAAACTACCTCATTTAACAGCCTTAAAAAATTAAAATGATAAAAATAAATTAAAGATTTCACCGAAAAGATTGTTCATTTATAATAAAATTCAATAGATTTAAAATTTAATCAAAAATTATTTTCATAAATATTTTGAAAATCACTTAGTGTTATTGTAATCATTTTTTATTATTAAAAAACATCATATCATTTTCATAATCTATATATATATGGTGAATTCCATATCAAATCAACAAAAAAAGTCGATTTTCAACCCGACCCCCTTCAATTTTTCTTAAATTTTGTATATTGGTAGTATATACTATAACTAAGAAAAAAAAGAAATTTTACCTTCCAACACTGTTTACCCGCTAAGATATGGCCGTTTAAAGCGATTTTTGACAAAATGCACTTCATTTATTTTCAAATATCTTGAGAAATAATTAACAATTTAAGTTTTATATTGTAGCTTAATAAAAGTTTTTTAAAATTACATAAAAATAAATATGATGGACATTTTATTAATATAGAAAACCGGAAATGGCCATAGAAAAAAATAGGTATTTTTTTCAAATTTTTTTTTCCGTAGATAGATATCACACCGCTTTATATTTGTACAAAATCCTAGACTGGAATGAACATGGGTTTAGGAGTTATCACTCATTATATGGCTAAAATTGAACAGATTTAACATTAATATCATCATATTTTAATTTAATGAATAGTTATGAAATAATGTTAATTTAAAAATTATGTCTAAATGATAGGCCCTACTTTTTTTTATCTTTATAAAAAAAATTTAAGAGGTGACTGGGATAATGAGCTATTTAAAACTTTAGTTAAATTTTATCTCGAAATTAAAATTACTTGACAAAATAATTTTAAATATTTTATTTAGCATAAAATAATCTACCAAAATTGAAATTCAACAATAAATTTTCCCCATATAATTCAAAATTAAAAGAAATTCTTAATATATTATTTGACGAGAATTCTATAGATAATAAAACATTCAAACAATGGATAGCAGTTGATCGAACTACCCTCGAAACATTGTCAAAATCCGCTGACGAATTTGTAGATTATTTAATTGAATAATTAAACAATTTAATTCCACATTTGTTTATGGTTTCACGATAATCATTAATTCGAAACTTTTTAAAATTCAATTTAAATGTTGGCGAATTCTTAGTTATTGCAGACTTTTTAGAAAACTATGCATTTGTGGTGCAGAACCATTCACAAGGATGTAATCAGACCAATAATCAAGCCACTATCAACTCTTTTATAATTTATTACCGTAAGAACAACATAATAAAACATGTAAATTTAATGGTTATATCAGATTGTTTAAAGCACAACGCATGTGCATTTTATTTATTTTAAAAATTAATCGTATTCTTGAAGGAAATATTTAATAGAGTGGCTAAAATTTATTATTTTTCTGATGGAGCAAACCAATATTAAAATAAAGATTTCATTAATCTCTACAATCATGAAAATGATTTTGGGATAAAGGCTGAGTGACATTTTTTGAAACCGCACAAGGTAAAGTAAAAGTCCATGCGACTTGGGGGCCGTTACTAAACGGTTAGCAGCTCGAGCAAGCTTGCAACGTCCATATGAACATCACATATTGACAACAATAGATTTATTTAACTATGCAAGAAATATTATCTATGGGGTAAATTATATATTTGTGAGAAATAATGAATATATGAACATAGAAAGTCATCTTGAAAGCAGGTTTTTGAGAACAAAGAGAATTTCTGGAACACAAAGTTCCAAGCTTTTATTCCCCTAGACGAAAACAAAAGTCATAATTTATTAAAATTCTTGGATGATTATAATATATGTTATATTTTAATTATAAATTTTTGATTGTATTATATGTAATGCAATTTGAGGCAAATAAAGTTATAAATATGTTTAGAATTATTTTGTCAAGTAACTTCGAGACAAAATTTAACTAAAGTGTTAAACAAAGCTCATTATTCCAGCCACTTCTCAAAAATTTTGATAAAGATTAAAAAAAGTAAAGACCTGTTATTAAGACATAATTTTTAAATTAACATTATTTCATAACTATTCATTAAATTAAAATATGATGATATTAATGTTAA